TTAGTTAGTTAGTTTAGTTAGTTAGTAGTTAGTTAGTAGTTAGTAGTAGTTAGTTAGTTAGTAGTTGTTAGTTAGTTAGTCTAGTTAGTAGTTAGTTAGTTAGTAGTTAGGTAGTTAGTTAGTTAGTGTTAGTTAGTTAGTTAGTTAGTTAGTTAGTTAGTTAGTTAGTTAGTTAGTTAGTTAGTTAGTTAGTTAGTTAGTTAGTTAGTTAGTTGTAGTAGTTAGTTAGTTAGTTAGTTAGTTAGTTAGTTAGTTAGTTAGTTAGTTAGTTAGTTAGTTAGTTAGTTAGTTAGTTAGTAGTTAGTTAGTTAGTTAGTAGTTAGTTAGTTAGTTAGTTAGTTAGTTAGTTAGTTAGTTAGTTAGTTAGTTAGTAGTTAGTTAGTTAGTTAGTTAGTTAGTTAGTTAGTAGTAGTTAGTTAGTTAGTTAGTTAGTTAGTAGTTAGTTAGTTAGTTAGTAGTTAGTTAGTTAGTAGTTAGTTAGTTAGTTAGTTAGTAGTTAGTTAGTTAGTTAGTTAGTTAGTTAGTTAGTTAGTTAGTTAGTTAGTTAGTTAGTTAGTTAGTTAGTTAGTTAGTTAGTTAGTTAGTTAGTTAGTTAGTTAGTTAGTTAGTTAGTAGTTAGTTAGTAGTTAGTTAGTTAGTTAGTTAGTTAGTTAGTTAGTTAGTTAGTTAGTTAGTTAGTTAGTTAGTTAGTTAGTTAGTTAGTTAGTAGTTAGTTAGTTAGTTAGTTAGTTAGTTAGTTAGTTAGTTAGTTAGTTAGTTAGTTAGTAGTTAGTAGTTAGTTAGTTAGTTAGTAGTTAGTTAGTTAGTTAGTAGTTAGTTAGTTAGTTAGTTAGTTAGTTAGTAGTTAGTTAGTTAGTTAGTTAGTTAGTTAGTTAGTTAGTTAGTTAGTTAGTTAGTTAGTTAGTTAGTTAGTTAGTTAGTTAGTTAGTTAGTTAGTTAGTTAGTTAGTTAGTTAGTTAGTTAGTTAGTTAGTTAGTTAGTTAGTTAGTAGTTAGTTAGTAGTTAGTTAGTTAGTTAGTTAGTTAGTTAGTTAGTTAGTTAGTTAGTTAGTTAGTTAGTAGTTAGTTAGTTAGTTAGTTAGTTAGTTAGTTAGTTAGTTAGTTAGTTAGTTAGTTAGTTAGTTAGTTAGTTAGTTAGTTAGTTAGTTAGTTAGTTAGTTAGTTAGTTAGTTAGTTAGTTAGTTAGTTAGTTAGTTAGTTAGTTAGTTAGTAGTTAGTTAGTTAGTTAGTTAGTTAGTTAGTTAGTTAGTTAGTTAGTTAGTTAGTTAGTTAGTTAGTTAGTTAGTTAGTTAGTTAGTTAGTTAGTTAGTTAGTTAGTTAGTTAGTTAGTTAGCTAGCTAGCTATCTATTCGGAGGGATGTCGGTAAGATGATATAAGAGAGAACATTTTGGTACTAAATATTTCGTTCATCAAATAGTTCTTTTTAAGTTTCCTGATTGGATGTTTTTAATACGCCGAGTCGTAAAAGGGTACATTAACAGATTTTTTATTTAGATAGGGGTTTTGACTATAGTCCATCGATATTCATAAAATGTGTGCAAATATTGAGATAGCACTTATTTCGTTAAATATTTGAACAATATATCCATAGACTAACAAAAAATGTGCACAATTTACCAAAACCTATTATTATCACCAGTTAGTTTTCAACTTATTAAAATAATCACTGCCTTAATTATAGGGTCTCCAAATGTTGATTGGCAAACCATTAAACGAAACACAAACAAAATAGCGTCTAAAGTTATTGAATAGTTGAAATTTAAAACTTAAAAGTTAATTAAATGTATTGCAAATATTTAACTAAAGACCACCAACCTAGAGAAAATAAGTGTTAAATTAAATATGGAACAAATTGCTTCAAAAAAACAGCATCAAGTTCAGGGTCAAATCAAAGGAAAAGTAAAAATGAAGATTTAAATTAAAATTCAATAGATATGGGAAGTAAGTATGACGGTTAATTGAAGGTAATAGTAACGTCAAAAATATAAAAACGTATGATTTTTTAAAAAACTATATCATTTAGTTGCAAAAGTTTTAGGGGAAAACAATAGCTTAGCAAACAAAATGGTGAGTAATGCTAAATTTTTAATTATTTTTTTGAAATTAAATTTATTTAATTTTTCTATATTTTTTAGAAACTGCTTGTAGTTTGTTTGGCCTTAGTTGCCTTGGCTTATGCAGATGTTTCTCATTTGGGCTATGACTATCAGGCTCCCAGCTCAATGGCCTTTGATTTGCCACAACCCAACAACAACTATTTGCCTCCAGTGGCTGCCAAAACTGAACCTTTACCCGTTAAAATGTATTTACCCCCCGCCCCTGTTGTAACACCCAAGAAAACTTACATACCACCTGTAGCTGTAAAGAGTGAACATCTACCCGTCACTATGTACTTACCACCCGCACCAGTTACGGCTCCCAAAAATACCTATATTCCTCCCAAACCTGTTACAGCCCCCAAACCCAACAATGACTACTTGCCTCCTGTTCCACCCATGAAAATACATTTGCCTACAGCTCCTGCCAAACCTGTACAATTACCTATAGTTCCCAAAAAATCCTACTTACCACCGGCTCCTGCAGCACCTAAGCATACACCCCACAACACTTATCTCCCTCCAGCTGAGGAAACTGCTCCTGCAAAGCGCATTATCACACCACCTGCACCCCGTCTTGAAGATTTAGTTCCACCACAACCTCCTCAAAGACATTATGAAGATTCTGAAGTATTTACCGAAGATGGTTACAAGACTGTTCGCAAACATAAATACTAGGAAATTCATTTGTGATATCTGATCATACTATTGTTAAGTTTGTAGCAGAGTTGTTTTCGTTTTTGAATATTTGACATTACATTTTATTAAATTTTTTATGAAATATTGAGATTTTTTGAATTTTTTTATTTATTTTTTATTTAAAATTGAAAAATGAGCTTATTTTTGTGATCACTTTTATTTACCTCCAAAAATGTATACATATTTTGGATTTGAATAGGCTTTGAGTGAGATGGAACTCAGGTGGTCAAATATCACCACTTGTAGAATATCGAGACTGCTCTGGCCCACTCTGACAACAGATAGGACTAGGACTCTCTTGTCTCTTAGTAAGAACTCGATTAGGCTTCTAACTGGTATACTTACTGGACACTATTTGATTAGACATATGTCGGAACGTATGGGCTACCCAAATTATAGCTACTGTAGAAGCTGCTTTAACGAAGAAGAAGTGGAATCGGTACAACACCTTCTACGTAACTGTCCAGCCTTACAAGAGCACAGACTACTCTATCTTGGTAGAGCTCTTTTCCATGATCTAGACTGTCTCAGAGATGCGTCACTAATAAACATAATCGGTTTTATTAAAAGCACCGGCTGGTTTACACGGAGACCTGACGAATCAAGTAGTCAACGAAATTAGGGAGGGAAACCATTCTCTCAATATTAGGGAATGGTAATTCTAAGGGTATCACAATGGACCACGACGCCTCCGAGTGAACTCGCTTGCTTGCGAGCAACCCACGTAAGCTAACCTAACCTTGGCCACCAACCTTGATAAAACTAAAAACAGAGCCTTAAAGATAACTACTTTTAAAACGATTCCCTTTTTCCTATAAATTCCCGTTTTATATAACAAACCTCAAATAATAATCTTTCGAAAAATTTCCCTTTTCACTGGCAACTCTACTCGGTATAAAAAAAGTCCCAAACTAAAGTGCCTTTGCAATTGTTCCTTTTTTGTTATTTTGTAGTGTTATCTTATTATTGTTATTGTTTCCTCTATGCAAAACCCTTCATGCAGAAGTTTGTGTGTATGTGGGGTATGGGTGGCCTGATGTGCATTAAAACTATGCTGTGTGTTGTTGTTGTTTTTAAGCAAAAAGAATAAAATCTCAATAGTTGAAGCAGAGAAGTGAAGAAAATAAAGTCACGTGTTTATATTTTGGCAACAAGTGTTTTTGTTGTTTTCAGTTAATACCAATGTGCAGTAGAGTTGCCCATATATTAAATAAAGTAAATAAAACGGGAAACGGTTCAGGCTCTAATAATACAGGCCCACGATTTGAAGTTTTGTAAAAATTCTACTATTTTTAATGTAGTTTTAGCTGCTGAAAATTTTCCTAAAGGTGAAAGTACACAACACGCGTTGTACGCGGCAACGCGTTATAGGCTTCTGTCAAAAAAAGTTGAAATAGTGTATTTTCATTTAACAAGGTACACATTGTAATTTGTAACGCGTCTGCCGCGAAAAGTTCAGCAATTTTGACGCATCGGCAGCTGATCAGGGTTGTAGTTTGTTTTGTGTAGAATAAGAATAAACTAAAACAAGTAAGAAAGTATAGTCGGGCGTGGCCGACCATATGATACCCTACACCAGTTATGAATATTAAATGTGATTTATTTTTCATAATAAAGCATTTATCTTCAATATTCCCTTGTTCCGATACTTTTAAGCAATTTATGGATGAAAAACTAATTTTCTGAAAGAGGCTTTATATGGGGGCTAGGGGCAAATATGGACCAAGCCCAATAAAATTTTGTGAATATATTTATATTTACATAATATTTGATTGTGCTGAATTTCAACGCGATATTTGCGTTTATAAGTTAATTTGGGACATTCAAGTAATTTTCTGAATGGGACTTTGTATGGGAGCTAGGGTCAAATGGGGCCCGATCTTTATGAAATTTGACAGGGTCATCAACACTTCTATAAAACTTAGTTGTGCCGTATTTTATCGATATATCTGTATATTTAACATAATTATGAGCTCAGAAGCCCTTTTCGGGGGGTTCTGTTCTATGGGGGCTAGGTGAAATAATGGACCGATTTTAATCATTTTCAATAGGCTTCGTCCTTCGTCAAATAAAACGTGCGTGCCAAATTTCATCCAATTATCTTGAAAATTGCGACCTGTACCTTTACATGGACAGCCAGCCAGCCAGACGGACGGACGGACATAGCTTAATCGACTCAAAAAAACGATTCTAAGCCGAATGGTATACTAGGATGTTTGTATGTTACAAACATCAGCACAAATCCAATATACCCTCCCCACTAAAGTGGTGTAGGGTATAATGAAATAAATTTCTGCAGCAATTGAAGAAAAATATTAAAAAATATACAAAAACTATAAATTTTGATTTTTAAAACAGTCTTAAAAATCATTTAAGAGAGATCAAAATGACGCGTGGTGTGTAACTTGCCGCTTAAAAAGCGCGAAAAGTTTGAAAAGTGTGAAACGCATTGCCGCCTCAACGCGTGTTGTGTACTTCCACCTTAAGTTTCATTAAAATCGGTTGAAATCAAAATAATATTTCACTATTGTTTTAAGTTTTATATAAAATGTATATCTGTAATAAGCTTGTTTTTCAAAAATTTAAACAAAACATATTTTTTTTCGAAATTCTTAAAATTTAAATCGCAGGTATCGCTTATATGGGAGAGATATCGACTTAATTTCTTTACTATTTTATTCCCAGCTTTATTGTTCATAAATCACATGGAGATTTTGTCAAAATTTGAAAATTTGCTTAACAAAATTGCCGAAAGTTTGAAACTGGATTTTCAAATTGCCGTCTGAAGGGTTTCCCATTTATGACTATACCCCAAATACGGTTTACGCCATTTAAGGGTGGTATTAGACGACATGTATTTTACATATGTACTGTCAAAATTTCCATCCGTAAAAGTTGTACATATCGTCTGATACACATGAAACATTGCATATGTAAAATAAATGTGGAAATACATACATACATATGTAATTTTTTCGATTAGAGCGTGCTCTATTTTCGTATGACAAACATAAAGAAAACAGCTCTTTTGCTTTGAAATAACATTTTATGAAAAAAGTAAATTAAAGAAAATTAATAAAGAACATGAAAAAGTAAGTATTTTTTCATTCTTAATAAACTAATTTATAATATTAACAATTTTTACACATTAAAAAGACAGCTTTGATTACATTATAGGTTATGTCATACAGACAGGTGTGATAGCAAAAATTATGAATCGTATGTAAAATAACAATTTTAACATACATACATTCCGAATTACATATGAATAAAAAAAGTGACAGTACATATGTAAAATACATGTCGTCTAATACCATCTTAATGAGGATAAAAACTTAAATTTTAGATTATACATACGAATATATTTAATGGAATGACAAGGTTTTATTACAATAGTTTCTAAAAATTTGTTAATTTTGTTTAAATATTCTCATTTCTGACACTGACACTAAATGGTAGGAGAAATTTGTAATAACTTTTACAATTTTTGACCGATTTTTGTGTTTTATATGTTATTGAAACAATAACTGCATATATATTACAATTATTTGCTATTAAAATCCAAAAATATAAATTAAGTGCCAAAATTGTTTGTAAAAATCGTTTTCCCCTTAATGGCGCTAAATTTTTTCTGAATGCATTTCTATAACAACAAGTATAAGTAAGTCTAGACTCTAGAGACAGAGACGGCCACTATTTGCAACTTCTGTAAAATTATAGAATTTTATTTTTGGGACTCAGGTATACAGTCAGAAGGACTAAAAGATGAAAATGTGGAAAATTGGTGGGTGATACAATTTTTCTATTTTCATATCCGTAATCAGAACACCAAATAGCAGTGGGATTAGTGAAAATTATTTAAAAAGTTTTTTATCGTTGGCTTGTGTAATATATAGAAATATAAACTATATAAAATATAGTTTATAAAACTTGCGGGGGGAATTCTTGATAAAACTAAAATTGCTTATAACTTCGTTAAAACGCGTTTAAATTGAAAAATAAGCTTATATTGTGATTACTCTTATCTTCCTCCAAAAATCGTATTTTTTTGGTCCAAACCCTTACAAAACTACAATCGCCTATAACTTCGTTAAAACACGTTTAAATTGAAAAATACGTTTATTTTGTAATCCATATATTTTCTCCTAAAAGTCGATATTTGGATTTGGATAAAACTAAGAAAGAGTCTTAAAAGTAACGATTTCCTTTTCTCTTATAAACTCCCATTTAACGCAACAATCCTACAAATATTAACTACTTATACATATGTATATCCTTTTACCTAACAAAAATCCCCTTTCACTGGCAACTCTGCCGTAGTTACGAAGTAGTTTAGTTCTACTGCGTTCGCCAATAAAACCGCACGTTAAAATTATCGTCCGTCTTTAAGTGCATTTTAATTAAAGTAAAAGTGTTGTAAATCGTATCAAATCCTTAAAATATCAATTCTAATAAAGTAATCTAATACAAAATCTATTTGAAATTCTAAAAATTACGTGTTAAATCAAATTTTTATTAAAATTAATGTAGAATAAAATGTCCCAAATTAAAGTGCATTTGCTATCGTTTCCTTTACTGTTGTTTTGTAGTGTTTGCCTATTGTTGTTATTGCTTTTTTGCAAGCAAAACCTTTCATGCAGAAGTTTGTGTGTATGTGGGTTATGGGTGGCGTAATATACATTTCATGTTGTTGTTGTTTTGAAGAAAAAAGAGTAGAAACAGAGAAATAAAGAAATTAAAGTCACGTGTTTATTTTTGCAACAAGTGTTTTTGTTGTTTTCAGTTAACAGCAAATAGGCAGTAGAGTTGCCCATATTTCAAATAAAGTAAATAAAACGGGAAACGTTGAGGGCGTTAATAATTTATAAAAAGTACCTATTATGTAAAATACCTATAGTTTTATTAAACTTGCGGTTGGAATTCTTAAAGGTTATCGATTAATTTTTTTCGAAAAATCTGATAAAACAAAAATTGCTTATAACTTCGTTAAAACACAT